CAGAGATCTATATTGTAGGTTAAGGCGGTAGAGTACATAATGTATGAATACATGTACATAAGATTTATATTTAAAACATGCATATATGATATCTATATAATAATAATAATAATAATAATAATAATAATAATAATAATAATAATAATAATAATAATGGGGAGCAGTGGGCTGATTTTTGTGAAAATAGGATTGTTTCTAAATTTTTAAGTGGAAAATTTTATGAACACTGATCTCAGTAACTTGATCAAACAAATCATTTAATTTAAACAAAGTTTAGGTATGACAAATTTCAAAGATTATCTTAAGTTGTATTAATTATATGATAATTATTTGCATCAGCACTCTGAGGATGTGCTGAAATTAGCACTGGAGAAACACATGCAAATGTAAAAATAAGAAAAAACAAATAAATGAAAGGAGAAGTGAAGGGAAAATGAAATGTTGAAATTCAGAGAGCTTCATTTATACTGCAAAAAATTGGTGTTATTCATTTTTGTTATATTAGCTAAGCTCTATTTCTTTTAACACATTTTACCTTTGCAATATTAAAATGTGTTTTTAATAACTATAAAATCATATTGTAATGATCAGTTATCTGTTTATTAATTTACATTTTTATGACTCATCAGTTCAGCCAGAAAAGAAACCCACACGTTTTCCTTCCCTCCTTCCAGAGTTATCTAATTTTAAAACACAAACAGTTACCCCCAGACACCATACACAGTTTTTCTTGCTGGTGCAAAATGATCCAGATATTCAGCTCTGGTTATGCCACAAAGCACATTTTTAACCAGAGAGGGAAAAAAAGGTGAGAGACCTTTGACCCGTGTGCTGTAGGTCATGTTCACGGGGTAGAACGCCCTTAAAGCTGTCTTGAGTGGCGCTGATTAATCACAGCATCATGACATTTGTCTGGCTTCTGCCCAGAGGAGATGTGTTAGGCATGCAGTGCCTCAGCACTTCTCCAGCAGCTTCTGTTTTGGGGGGTGGGGCTGGAGGGCGTTGCAGAAGACGGGTGGAGACAAGTGGACAGTTGCACGGGCAGACTTAAGACTCTGAACGCCGTCTGATGCAGCGCAGGCAGTATTTACGCTCCGACGGCTGCAGGATCCGAGAGCCGGGTATATTTAGCCGCCTAGAGATCACGCCGAGATGAGATTTCAAAGTGAAGTACCTGTTTGAAGATGCATGGCATTCCACAAGGGTGGGCAAGGGCTACTGGGTATAAATCTAGCACCCCTGCACCTGGTGTGAAGTCAGAGGGAGTGTGACACCTAAGATTTAGAATGTCTAATGCACAAGCTGTACATGTGTAAACTACACATTCATCCATATAGATTTACACGCTCCTTAGAAACGGGAAATGGAAAAAGACATCACTTTTTGTCTTTGATAGACTCATGCTCATCCACTCCTACTGTGTACTGTTTTTCAGCTCTGCTTATGTTAATGGTGAGATCTGAGAGTGACAGACAATCTTTCAGTACTATATTTGTGAGTTTCTTTTTACCCTCTACAAAGTTGAGTGTCATAACTTTGGTTGGCATTAGCAAACATTTAACCAACGTGTTCAAAGGCGAAAGCCTCCACAAAGAGGGGCTTCTGGGCCCCTTTGCTTCAATAAGCCTAAAATAATGTAAAGGTTGACCAATCTTCACCCTTGTTCTTCTTTTTTTGGTATTTTATTTGAATCTGAGAAATATAACCCTGAGAAGAAGCCATTTTACTGTAGCCTTGTAGCTTACAGAGCTACTAGGTTTTTGCAATATCTGTGTTTTTCATCTCATTTTGCTCCAACCTTCTATTCCTATTGGTGTAGAACCCTTTCTAGTCAACTTAAACATCGTAACCAGAAGTAAATATGTATGCATTTCGAACCAATCCGAATTGATTAAACAGTTATTTATACATTTTCTTAGTAAAAAAATTAAATATTTGCTTTGATAAAAGTAGTAACTATGACCTTTAATAGTGTTCTAAGTTTTTTGATCCCCACATCACACACACACAGTAAAGATTTTTACATGCCTAGTATACATGCCTCGGCAGATGGCCGCTCACACTGAGCCTGGTTCTGCTGGAGGTTTCTTCCTGTTAAAAGGGAGTTTTTCCTCTCCACTGTCGCTACAAGTATGCTTAGTTTGAGGGATTGCATTCAAGTCAATGAATCGATGCAATCAATTGGTTTTCCTTAGATAGAAAACTTTGAATCAATCT